GCTAAGTTGATACTCAGACTATTTTATAATGAGTGTGGCAGGGGCATAGACCAACTGCAGGGATGTTGGCCATAAACCACCAGTGTGTCATTTTCTGTTGTCTTACACTAGTGAGCTTCACTGGTCCCTGTAGGCATTTGAGTCTGGGAACCCCTGGGAGGAGTGAGATGTGTTCTTTGACAGGGAATGTACCCAGGAGGAAGTGATGAGCTATTCTAGGAAGGGGCAGGGATGGTTTTGAAGTGGAGGTGACGCCCAACTTGAGATTTGAAGGATGGCTGAGGGAAACTCTGTAGGTTGAGAAGGAAATTCTACATGGGGTATAGCTGTAGAGTGAAATTGTGTGAGAGTCCAGGCCCTTGGGCTGGATGGGGAAAATGGAGCAAAGGAAGAGAGGGATGTGAGATGAGGCTGGACCATCAGGCAGAGCCAGACCATGGTGCAGCCTTGAATTCCCTGCTCGATTGATGATAAATGGAGGGGACAGTGAAAATTGTGGTGGGGGCCACCAAAAGGACATCAGCCAGGGAGTGCCAAGGCCCAGAGTTTGAGTCTCAAAGATTTTGTTGTAAGCCAGGGTAGGGAATGAGCATAGGGTATGCAGGAGGCTGGAAGCAACTATAATATTGAGGAGTGGGGAGGTTTAGAGAGTGCCAGGGAATTTCCAGTCACTTGGGAAACCCAGGTCCCCTCCATCCTGAGGATGCAGAGCTCTGGAGTCAGGCAGCCTTCAGTTCCTATCCAGGCTCTGCCTCTGTGGTGGGTGAGATGGTCATCCAGTAATATTCATCTCTCACTCCATCTCAGCCCCATGGGAGGGGTAGATATGCTTGCTCTAGCATGGCTTGGCCATGGGACTTACTTTGGCTAATGATGTATTTGCAGGCAAGATGCTCAGGAACCTGAAATATGCTTTTACTGCTGGGATTGCTCTCTTGTATGCCGATCATTTCTGCAAGAAGACCATGCCTGGGTGGGTCTGCTGGTGCCAAGAGAGGGTGAGAGACTTGTGGAGCCATGATGAGCCATCTCAGCAGAGCCCATCCTCAATTAGCCAGCCTATAGATTCATGAACTACATAAATGTTTTTCTTTTCTGTCTTTTAAAAAATTATTATTAAGGTATGGTCAGTTATAATGTGTCAATTTCTGGTATTCAGCATAATGTCCCAGTCGTGCATAAATATATACATATATTTATTTTCATATTCTTTTTCATTAAAGGTTACTGCACAGTATTGGATATAGTTCCCTGTGCTATGCAGAAGAAATTTATTTTTTAATCTATTTTTTATATATAGCAGTTAACATTTGCAAATCTCAAACTCCCAAATTTGTCCCTTCCCACCCTTTTCCCCTGGCAGCCATAAGATTGTTTACTATGTCTGCGAATCTGTTTCTGTTTTGTAGATGAGTTCATTAGTGGCCTCTTTTTTCCATAAATGTTTAATAATTGTCATACACTGAGAGTGTTTGTGAACATTTGTTACGCAGCATGCCCGTGGCTGTCGTGAAGTGATACAGCTTCTCTCCAGTGGTACGAATTGGGCAAGGTGGCCCTCCTCTACAGACACCCCAGGGAGGAAGGTCAGGCTTTGTAGAGCTTGCAGGAAACCTGGGGTGAGCCTAAGGGAGTTTCTGGGTATTTCTTCTACCTACGTGACCTGCCTGCGCTGACTAGAGGTAAGACATCTCTAGGAGGAATATTCTAACCTCTCAGGGAAGAAGGGAGCTGCGGGGCATGGCAGAAGAGGCACAAGGGGGTGGTGGGGACCCCTTAGTGTTGTTGGTGGGAGCTTGAATGAGCTGTGCCTCTCTGGAGGGCTGTTCAGCAACACATGGGCTCCACATCCAGAGTTACACTATTAGGTATGCTAAACACATGTGCGCACAGGCAGACACACACACACAGACACAATGGCAACAAAACCCACCTGCAGATGTGCACAAGGAAACACTGTTTCAGATGATCAGCGTACTATTATTAATGTTTTTATTGACGTATAGCTGATTCACAATGTTGTGTTAGTTAGTTTCAGGTGTACAGCAGAGAGATTCAAATGAACTCATTTATAAATCAGAAACAGACTCACTGACCTAGGAAACAAATTTATCATTAGAGGGGAGGGATAAATAAGATACACACTACTAAACATAAAACAGATAAACAACAAGGATCTACTGTACAGCACAGGGAACTATACTCAATATCTTGTAATAACCTATAATGGAAAAGCGTATTATTATTTCAACAGCTAGAAATTTTAGAAAGATTCAGATGTCCATGGCTAGGGGGACAGCTAAATGAGCTGTAGGGTGTCCATTCCTTTTGGACACAATAAGAAAGGAGCTCTTTATGTACCAATGATGTAGTTGAACCTTGACGACAAATGAGTGAGTTCAGTTCCTGAGGAGCACTTATGTTGAAAACCAAACAAAACTGAACCAAACACCATGTAGCAAACTTTGTAGTGGAGGTTGCCTTGGAAATCTCTAGAGGAAAAAGATGGGGTGGGGATGTCCAAGGATCTCTGGCTTTCTCTGTCACGTCACAATTTTCAAAAGAGGTTTTATCTGTCACTTAATCCTTAAAAGTGAGTTTCACAATAAGAATGATTTAAAAAAAAAAAAGACCCAGACTTTGGGGGCAAGCAGGTCTGGGTTGGAACCCCAGTTATGTTGCTTCAATTTTTGACTTTGGGTGCGTCCTGTACCTTTTCAGGTCCCGGGTGGTGGGGATGCCAACCTCTAGCTGTGGCCAGTGGGAACATTGGACCAGTGCCTGTCGAGGGGCTGACATAATGACTGGGTGCATGAAGGGGCTTGTACATGTCAGTTGAAAGTGAAGGACAGGTTTACCTGGGAGTCACACAGCCCAGAGGGCGTGTCCCACTGGACCCTTCCTTCCTTGGGAGTCCAGCCAGGCCCGCTGTGCACGTGAGAGCCTTGGCAAAGTCCCAGAGAGCAAGGGCTGACGTCCAGCCGGGCCAGTGCTCTGGCTCACGCAGTGGCAACTCAGGGCGTGAGAAACATGTTCTGTGTGACCCTGGATGGAGACGTTGGGGACATGGTGCTCACATCTGCAATGACCTCCAAAATAGCAAAATTATGTGCCCTGTAGGGCTGCTGGTGGGGTGAAGGGGGCCTTTTCCTAGTCACCCCAGGGGATGTTAGTGACCTTTGAGGGCTCCCAAATGATCACTGGAATGCTTGGAATTCTGGTGGGATTTGGGAATTATGGTGAGAGAAGTGTGTCCTAGGCTGTCACTCCCTGCTTGAGTGACCTGGAATGAGCCCCCTAGCGTGGACACTGAAGATGATAAACTCTCCCCCAAAGCTCCAGATGGCGCCAAGTGTGACCTGCCAGCCGCTCAGCTGGGATGGGAAGCGCCGCCTTCCACCTCCCACGCGTCTAACCTGAGTTGAAATACAGCCCGATGTGCACCAGGAACACATCCCCTTAGAAGTTCATGGTTGTCTTGACCTGCATCCTTACACACACACGCGCACACACACACACACACACACTTTCCTCCCTGGGTGTCCCTGGCACTGCCCCCCCAAGTCCCATTCCTTCTCGGATTCCCTGGTAATGTCTCGCTATCAGCCCGTCTCTCTGGAGGGCGGGAGGGTCTGATGCCTTTGGGTTCCCAGCACAGAGCCTGAGTCAGCCTGCCTGGGGTCTGGAATAGATCCTAATAGGACACAACGGTCTACCCTCCCCGGCAGTGGGGCTGCCCTGCTCACCCAGCCTCCGCCCCCTCGCTCCCTCAGTGTATTTCCCCATACTGGACTCCGAATGAGCTTGCCAGAGCCCAGCCCTCATCAGGTTAGTCCCCTCTTGTTAGAGGCCTTTCAAAGCCATTCCTCCCAGGATGAGATAGTGTTCCCTGATGCAGCCCCCTCCCGGCCTGATCCGCTCCAGGATGCCCGCAGCAGCCTCTCCTAGCCTCTCTGGCCCCCTTCCCCTCCTCCCATCCCCTCCCCTTGGCCTACTTAGCGACAATGGCTTTGCTTCTCCCCCGCCTCTCACTGGTGGAATCTAAACCTATTGGGACGGGAGTCTCAGAAATTGTGGTCCCCGGGCTTCCAGCCCTAGCTGGCTGCCTATAAAGTGGCCCAGTATTCACTGCATGCACAGTAGTCATTCGGGGGGCAGTTCCCTGTGCTTTTAAAACCATCTGCATAGAACTGCTTGACATCACCTAGTGACTCCATCCAAATGCTGCTTTCATCTTCCCTAAGTATCCCTGAACATGCTTCGCCTTCTTGGCCCCGAAACAGGGACCTTCCATCTCGGGCAGGTCAGTTCCGGTAAGCTTTGCTCCTGACGACTCACGTCTCCTCCCTGCCTCCTGTGGAAACACCCAAGTGTGTCTCTGTGCATCCTCCGGGCAGGCTCCGAGTTCAGGTCTCCACAGCCTCCCCCAGCCCCTCCTCCCACCCCAGGGGACACGGCTCACTGCCAACACTGCAGTTGTCACACAGCGACCTCGACTCTGGTCAGCTCCCTCCCTCCATCTTCCAGACCCTTTCCGAGTGCCTCTGGGATTCCTTCCTTGCACAGAAATCTGCGAATATTTTCTTTGACCCGGTCTTTTCGCTTACACCTCACCCACCTCCTCTTTGACTGGACTTTCCTTGATGGACAAGTTTTCCGTTTTTAAAGATGTCTTTTCCTCCCACCTAACAAAGGCATCTCCAGATCTGACAATTTCAGAAATATTCCATTCCACAAATGCTTGCTGAGGGTCGATCCCGTACCTGGCTCACCAGGTGAGCAGGACGAAGGCCTGATCCTTCCCATCAGTCTGTCCCTCATTTCCCATCAGATGTTTCAAGGTGAGACCTAGTTTCACTTTTTAAGGCAGTTTCCAAGTTGGCCTTTACCGCAACATTTTATCATAATTCTTTTTCTAAACCGAGACACGCCGGATGATGAAGTTCGGGGAGCATTTCCTCACCAGGAAGTGGAAAACGAAACCCTCAAGACAGCATCTGTTTTGATAGCTTTATTGGAACACGCCGGTGACACGCAACACGGATTTGGGGGCCCACCGCAGACGCTCCTCTTCTAGCAGCATGCGCCCCACTTCTGCAGCCAGTCGGGGCTTCAGGAGGCCTCCAGGAAGGCGGGGCAGGGCTCAGAGACAGACCTGAAGGAGGTCCCTGCCGTGGCAGGTGGCACGCAGAAATCCTGACCTCTGCCCTGACCTGCTGAGCGTGATCAGCCAGACCAGTCTTGTGCTCTAACTACTTGGCCATGACTTGGAGAGCTACCTGTCTCAGACTCTTAGGAAAACTTCCAAGGAGGGGATTCTGGAGTTTCGGGAAGGAATTAAGCCAAGAGACTGAGCATCTCTGGGGAGGTCATGGGGGCAAATCGTGCCTTCAGGTGTATGCTGGCAGATAAGCTGCTTAAAGCTCCTACTCTGTAGACTGAACAGTCTTCCAGGGGCTAGACAAAGGTCAACAGATACAGGCAGGACTCACGACCTCCTGAGTTGGGGAGACAGACAGGGCAGGAATCACACAGATGACTATAAATGACAGCCATGCCCATGGCTCTGAAGACGACTCTGGGGATGTGTGTGGGGAGGCCTGACCCAACAGGGAGGGTCAAGGACGGCTCCCTCAAGAAGTGATGGTTCAGCTGAGATCCCATGGCAGAAAGGGCAGGATGAGCATTCCAAGGCATGGAAAGAGCTCTACGTGTGGCCTGGCTGCTGGAGGGAGCGGGGAAGTAAACAAACCAAAGGAGAAGGCCAGCAGGGTGGGGTGAAGAGACGGAGGGGGTGCGGGGCCGGCGGAGGCTGGAGGGACACGTCGGGCCGACCACGCGGGACCTGTGGGCCACGTGGAAGATGGGTTTCTCCCTGGGTTTGCACCGCACAGCCCACTGCGGCTGCTGGGTGGAGACCGGACGGGAAAGAGGCCAGTGAGGAGCACAGGGAGGTGTCACAAAGCTGTTTGAATTGTCCTGACGAGGGGATGGCAGTGGGACCGAGTGATGACAGAGCAGCCGGAAAGAACCAGGTAAACGGTGGGTACTCGTGAGAGCTTGGACTCGAGAGGATGGATCATGAGGAGCCAGGAGAAGGCGATGACCCAGTGGCAGGGCTTCGGTCTGAGGAGTGGGACCTCAGGAGAGGAGCAGGTGCAGGGAGATGGTCAAGCTGCAGCTGTGGACCTGCTAACAGTGAGGTCGAGAGTGGGTCGAACGCGTCCCAAAGGAGCCTGGGCTCCAGGTACAGATCTGAGTCACCTCCGGAGAGGTGTCTCCTGTAACTTCAGATGCTGGAGTGTAGACGAGGCCACAGAGGGCAAGAAGTGGCAGTGAGAGGACGAGGCTCAGGACCGAGCCTCGGAACGGCCGCATCGATGGCTGGGGAGAGGAGGTGGGCGGCAAGAGCCACTGAAGAGGTACAGGTGGGCGGGGAGGGGGCCACCACGAGGGGGTCTTGGAACCAAGGGAAGAGTGGACTCAGCGAGGGGCAGTGGTCGACAAGGGGAGCCCATGGACACCCTCATGTCTCCGGGGCTGTCATCTCCTCCACCTCCTTGGGTCTCTCCACCACCCCTGTAGACAGGAAAAGGGAGCGCACACGCTCCCACAGAGGAATAAAGAGCTGCTCAGGGGCGCTCCCTGCCGCGCCCAATGTCACGCATCCAGCAGAGGGCGCTGGGGGGCCAACCTCCCCACCCACATCTGTCGTGCCCCCTTCCCGCTGCCACCTGTCCCTCCCTGCTGCCGCACACTTTCCCCAGCAGGCCTGCCCCACGCCACTCCTTGTGGATGGAAAGCACCAGAGAGGATCTGTACTGCAGCATGAAGGGACCCTCCCAGCCCCAGGCTCCGGGTCTGGGCGGTGAGAGCGAGAGGGTCACCTGAGTCAAGGAAATATCGTGGCCTCTCTTGAGAGGCAATTTTAATGTCGTGTCAAGAGCATGGGCTTGAAGCCTGGTTTTCCACCCATCATCCTGTTTGTCCATTTCTTCGTTCGTTCCTTCCTTCAACAACAGTTTCTCAAGTGCCTCCCTCGTGCCAGGCACACTTCTAGCTGAGTGGCCTTAGGGACGGCCCCGTATTTCTCTGAGCCTCAGTTTCCCTATAAAGTGATCCCTGCCGCACATGGTAAGGACTATGTGTGCTCATGCAGAGGGCGTACCTGGCACACGGCAGGTGTTCGTTAAAGGCTAATGCCCTTCCCTTCCTTTGCCTCCCCCTCCCATCCTCCCCTTCATCATCCCACAGAACTCGGGAGGGAGTGAGAGGCTAACGCTTTATGGCAACACCCTCGGCTGTGCTCAGAGGGCACGTGTGCTCCTGCGCATGCACGTCCGAGCACACGCCCGTGCGCACAACCCCGAAAGCCCCGCGTCTCTGTTCATGACCCAGGGCCAGCACCAATGTGAGCTCTGAACCCGCGGGATTCAGCAGACCTGGGGAGGGGAGGCTGAGCGCAGAACAGGCGGCTGCTCCACCCCGGGCCGGAGGACCCCGTAGCCGGTCGTGTGCTCTGGGAGTCCCCGGACTCAGGCCAGGGTGTGTCCTCCATGGTTTTGGGGGCTGCTGGGTCCTTGGTGGCTCCAGGAGTCAAATGTTGGTGACCAGGAGCAGTAAGTTCAGTGTCCTGGGGCCGAGGCTAGACAGCCTCGGAAGGCAGCGTTCTCGGGGGCTCCTTGGACAGCGGCTTCCCCCAGCTGCTCTTCCGAGGGGCCTCCCACATGTCTCTGGAGGAACCTAATCCCCCACAGGCTCTTGCAGCAGCTCAGAAGGTTGCTTGAGCACGTGGTGCAGGACAGCGCCAGCCTCCTGCGGAGACACAAACACAGGTCAGGGCTGGGGTGACCACTGAGCAAGGCCCTGGGAAAGGTGCGGTGGGATGGGACAGGGGACCATCCACGTGCATTAAGGACTTCTTCCCTCACCCCACAAGGGGAGTATTTGGGAGATGCTTTTAAATCCCTAGTCAACTTCTAACATGCTGTGTGCCCTTGGTCAAGTTACTTAACCTCTCTGATCCTTAAATAGAGGTAAAAATAACCACCCTTCCAATTCTTAAGAGGATTAAGTTTATAAGATATGTGTAAAAGTATCCCACACATTGCCTGGCTCATAGTAGGAGCCCAATTAACATTTGCTATTTCTGAGTCTTAATGAAACGATTCCTGAACATCTACATCGTGTTTCGCATCAGTTGGGGGAAGGCTGGGAGAAGACGATACAAAGATTTATTCAGCCCCGCATTAATACCAGTTGTGAACACGCCTGTCTCGCCCTGAGAAGGTGTGGTCCCTGAAGACATGGCACTTGCCTTTCAAACCCCTACCATGTGGCCGGCACATAGTAGGTCCTCAAGTTAATGGCTGTTGAGTCAATCTGCTTGAAGGTCACTAAAGGTAAGTTAGCCAAACGCCCAGTGTTTGACATATATTTTCAGAGAGATGAAGTTCCCTCCCACTTCTAAGTATACAAAATTCTCTGCCCTGTTGCCTCTGCTTAAGATGTGGATGGTTGACCTGCCTTCCTCTTCTACTACTTTCAGTGAGTGAGGGTTCTTTTATTGTTTTTTTTTTTTTCTCAAGCCTTTCTGAGGTCAGAGGGAAAGGCAGCGTGGCGCGCCTGTGTTTTCAGCATCCAGCACGCAGTTCTGCCTTTATATCTGGGAGTGGGAGCAGGCTCAGAGCTCTAATCAGGCAATGGGATCTGACCAGACTTGGGTGGCATTGCTTTGTGTCAGTGTATCTGTGTTCAGAAGTGTTTTCCATTTGCCATGAGTGATACTGCATTTCCATTTATGGGGATGATACAAAGTTTTCTTATAAATGTATTTCAGTGAAAACAGCCAGGTGGTGTAGAGATTTAAGCGCACAGAATGCAAATGGATTGCATGGGGAACGGGGTTTGCAAGCAGCTGTAGCTTGGGAAGTGTTTGTGGTGAGCCCCGCCCATTCCCGCTCACTGTTGCCGCAAAGCGGGAAAAGCTGAGCACCGCCTGCTGTCCCTGGGCACTCTGCCCCAGGTCACCTCCATGACAGGACAAAATCTGGCTTCAGTTCTAAGACCACAGACGCTACCTAGTCTCGACTGGAGTGGTAGCTTTCCTCTTCCAGCTTCAAGAGAGGAGCCACCCCTCACGTGGTCCTGAGACCCATCGCGGGTCCTCTGGGTGTCGCATGAAGCTCGTGCTTGGCCTCTGCTCATCTGCTAAGGTCATCTGGCCACCAGAAGACTCAAGCTTGTTTCTCCATGGAGAGAGGAAAGAGCCTGTGCTTCCCCTGAAGAGTCCATCAGATGGGAGATGCAGATTTGGGTGCCTGACTTTGTCGGCCTTTGTGAACAAGGACACAGCCAGCAGCCACAGCCAATGCTGAAGCGTGGGACGTTCTGGCTGAGCCAATGCTCCCCCTGTGGGTTTGGCCAGCGCCTCCCTCCCCAGAACCCCCACCCTCACCTGGACCTCAAGGTCGCAGCCCGGGCACGTCAGAGGCTCCGGTCCTTCTCCGTGCCAGCAGTGTACATATTTGACCGAGCAGGCAGGTAGCTACCCTTGGATTGTCACTCCAGATGGAAGTCTGATAAAATGACTTGTGCTGAAATTAGTGAAATTAGTGAAGAAAAGCTAGCCCTAGGCTAGGAAATAATGACTTCCCTTCTTCTAAAAATCACTTGAAATAATATTATTATGGAAGTATCACATGTGCATAGTACAAAATTCAGAACATACAGACCAACGAAACAAAGAAAATAAACATCTCAGGTACACCCCCTTCTCAGACATCTCTCTGCTACATGTCGATGCTGTCATTAAATATTTTTAAATGAAAGACATCAGAGAGACTACATCAAAAACCACATATGCGTGGCTTAAAATACTAAAGAATATGAATGGTCACCAGTGTAACCACCTCTAGGTTAAGAAACAGAATTTACCAGGATCGGACTTGTTTCAGCAAATATGTATGTGTCCCTAAACAATATATTGTATTATTCTGCCTGGGTTTTATTTTTATATAAATGGGCTCATGTTTTAAGATTTTTTTCCCCCTGTAGCTTCCTTGTTTTAGTTGCTGATTCACATTATGTTTTTGAGATTAAACTGTGTTGATGCATGTATCTGCAGCTCACGTTCGTTGACATAAAGTGCTCTACCATGGAAGGTACTCCAATTTATTTATCCGTTCACCGGTTGATGGACACTGAGTTGTTTCTCATTTTTATCATCTCCCTTCTCATGTTTATA